AGTTTTCCATTGTGCAGCTGCCTCACTTGAAACATAAATGAATTGTTCAATAGAGAAAATAAAAAATGAGCTTTAGCAACTTCTTGGCACCAACTTTCTTGATCCTCAGAAGGGTTTCTCTGGTGAATCTTCTTAAAGGAAGAGAGATAAAAAGGAATCCTAGGCATTTCTGGCATCTTGTGAGACAACTGGAATGCCTATGAGATGCTCCTTATTTCAAGAATAATATCCAGAAAGGAGACTGTATTCTGTGCAGCTTGACCAACCTGGCTTGACAGTACATCACACAGTGCCTTTGACAGCACCAAGGATTGGAAAATGGAATTGCAACTATCAGGCATCAAGTTATGTTTTAACATTTAGTTATAAAGGCCATGTCATGCCCTCCGAGATACAGCAGGAGTATTAGGCCTGACATTTTGAATTTCAAATGCAAATTGGGAAATCCAACCCAAACTAGGAAAGTCAATGTGTGTAAATGGAGTGAATTCAGTATCCAGGAGTGGCTCCTGGGTGAGGCTAGTCAAGTCTCCCAAAGGCTCTTATTTTACTCTGTCAGCCACACAACTGAAGAAAAATTTCAATTAATATATCTGGATAGTATCTGAAAAGTATCACCTGAACATCTTATTTGTTAAAGGGATTATTGGTAAGTTGTATCTAAATGATACAAGTAAATTATGCCATGCTAATCTAACTTGTTCCACAAATAAATTATTGCACAGATTTTTTTCTTTTTTTGAACTACGTATTCAAAATCTCCCAATAATGGTACCCATAGTAATAGGTTTGTATTTTCCAAAGCTCTTAGGTTAACCTGCTACCACTATTTTTCAGAGTAGTTAAGTGACTTGCCCATTTTGAGAAAGTAATAGAATTGGGTCTAGCACCTGTCTGTCTGATTTCCATTTCACTGCTTTAGCTCCCACTTCAGCACCCTGTAAGACTGCATGCCACATACAAAATAGTTATGATGAGAAATGGAGAAAGCACAAAGTTTAGTTGAAACAAGTCCATTCTTTTTTGTTTAATAAGCACAGGTGTGTGCGTAGGAGGTAAGCATTGGCCAGTAAATGCATGGCTTTCAGGTGCACCATAGGCCCTGGTAACTTACTGTGTTCTCAGTGTCCTTTTTAAAACACAAATTTGATAAAGTTTGTTTCCTTACACCTTTAGGGGCTCCCCATTGCCTAGGATAAAGTCCAACTTCCATTGCACAGCTTACAACTGCTGGACCCCTTCCCGCCCTTCTTGCAGTTCCTTGAATGTTCCATGCTCTCTTTATATCTGGGTCTGCAAATTTGCTGGCCCTTCTATTTAGAAAATGTTCCTTCTCTTTTGCCCTTTGCCTGGCTAATTCTTGTTTGTCTGGTTTCAGCTGTTGTCACGTCCTCCAAGAAACATTTTTTGTGTCCCAGATCTAAATTAGATTCACCTCCTATGTTCTGAGGCACCCAGTACTTGTCTTATCATAGGCATTATAATAGGCACGGAAACTGCCTATTTGTTGGTCTTTATTATCCATTATTCCCTATGCACCGTGTGTGTAAGATCTGTATCTATCTTGTTCTTCATTTTATTTCTGGCATTAACACCCTGTCTAGTGGAGAGCAGACTCTCTATATATTGGAAGAATTAATGAATAAAAAACTATCTGACACTTTGAGAAAGGCCTTCGATGGGCAAAGACCTTCACAAGGACAAATGTCACACTGATTTATTATCTATTATGTACCAGCCATTTTCTATATGTTATCTCTCATTTAGAGCTATTTTTATGGAAAAAAATAAAAAATAACAACAAAGACCTCGTAATAGATTGTTTTATTGGCTAATATTCAGTGCCCTTCCCTGATGGTACACATCCTTGCCCTGTTGAACTCTGGTATAGGCATGTGAAATGGGAGAAGTGACAAGTGTGACTTCTGTGCAGTAGCTTCGCCAAGTGGTTCATGGTGGCTTGCCTTGTAATTGATTGCTGATATGTTTCAAAAAGAAATGTCCCTCTGAAAAACAAACTGAGGGTTCTAGAGGGGAGGGGGGTGGGAGGATGGGTTAGCCTGGTGGTGGGTATTGAGGAGGGCACATTCTGCATGGAGCACTGGGTGTTATGCACAAACAATGAATCATGGAACACTTCATCTAGAACTAATGATGTAATGTATGGGGATTAACATAAGAATAAAAAAAAAAGAAAAAAAAAAAAGAAATGTCCCTTAACTAAAGCCTCAGATACTGTGGACTAGAGCCCCAGCTAACTTGAACTGAGAAATAGAAATGTTTGTTATTGTAAACCATGAGTAACATGTGTGAGAAGTAGAAATATTTGTTATTGTAAACCACCATGATTTGTGTGTGTATTACAACCGCAAACCACAGTATATCTTGATTGATGGAGATCTTTTCAACCCAGTTCAAATGAGGGGGAACTTAGGGAAAGGATTCAACAGGGAATCTTAGGCACATTATAGATTAGATACAAGAACACTTAGGTTTCACTGGAACAGGAAACTGAAAGTCAGAAACTGGTGCTATTTTATTCATATTTTAGAGCTGCATGGACTCACATTTCTGCTTCTCTGCTTACCTGCTACTTTTTCTTCCTCCTTCAGTAAACTTTACATACATACTAATCACAAATTTGACCCAAATGAAGATGATCTCCAGCTCTTGTCTTTATATGATTTCCCATGTCAGAACCCACTACTAACTGCTGCCTCTCTCTGAGTCTCTTGGTTTATATTCTTGAGGGACATAATTATGGTTTTAGTGCATCTTTTTGAACAGATTACAAGCCAGATGTCACTGACTAGTCAGTGTTAACTGGTTACTAGTCTAATGCTTGCTCAGTCAGTTGTGCCTGTGTGTGAGTGTGTCGGGGAGGGTGGTGGTAGGTCAGTAACAAGCCATGTGGTGTGAAACATGGCTGTTTGGGACAGCAAATACTACATGTAGGATTCAGTGTCTTAAAAAATCTACATAGAGAAGAAGTACCTTAATATATATTAATGTTGTATAGCTATGTTGGTTCTATGAGGATAGTATTATTAATATTATCATAATCACAAATTTCAGATTATAAAGCTAAAAGCAATAAGATAACTCGGGTAAAATTGCATACTAATATGTGAAGGGCAGAGTAGATTTATAATTTAAACCTTGGTATAGTTTTAGCTGACCCCAAATTTCATGCTCTGCAATGTAATAAATCATCTCAAAGATTTGAACTCTCCCTATCAGTGAAACAAGTATGAATAACTTTACAGAAAAAATGGAATAAAATAAAAATTATGTAAAGGTATAACAGATGGGGGTTATTTTAGAGGAGAACAGTATAACTGGTGTATACTGAAGGTTAGAAAGTGTTTCAGAGCCCCCAAAAGGTTTTCTTTTCCAAACACAGTTTTCCAATATTTTATTGTGAAAAAAAAATTTCAGTGTATAGAACGTCAGAGTTAAAAGCCATATATCCACCTCCTAAAATTTATATTTGTTATATTCTTGCTTTGTCACATATCTATGTACCCATCCATTAATCCCTCTTTCTAAGTCAGTTGCTTGGCCCCTTATCTTTTTAAATATAATATATATATATATATATATTTATTTATTTATTTTTATTTTTAATTGAAGTGTAATTGACATATAATATGTTAGTTTCAGGTGTACAACATACTGTGATTCCATGATTGTATACATTACCAACTGCTCACTACGGTAAGCATAGCCACCATCTATCATCATACAACATTATTACAATAGTATTGACTATATTCCTTGTGCTGTACTTTTCATCTTTGTGACTTATTTATTTTGTGACTGCAAGTTTGTACCTCTTAATCCCCTTCACCTATTTTCCTACCCCCACAGCCCCCTCCTCTCTGGCCACTGCTAGTTTGTTCTCCATATTTATGAGTCTACTTCTCTTTTTGTTGTTGTTATTGTTGTTTGTTTTAGCTTCCACATATAAGTGAAGTCATATGGTATCTGTCCCTGTCTGACTTATTCACATTAACATAATTCCCTCTAGGTCCATCCATATTGTCACAAATGCAAGATTTCATTCTTTTTTATGGCTGGGTAATATTCCATTGTGTACATGTACCACAAGACCCTTTTTCTTCAAAGACTGAATGAGTTTGGTGGGGTCTTGCAAAAATATTTTCTTAAAAGCACTCTAAGTCCTTGTTACTCAGGGTATGTCCATGACCACCCGCAGTATTGGCATCACTTGAGACTTTGTCAGAAATGCAGAATCTTGGGGCGCCTGGGTGGCTCAGTTGGCTAAGCGACTGCCTTCGGCTCAGGTCGTGATCCTGGAGTCCCTGGATCAAGTCCCGCATCGGGTTCCCTGCTCGGCGGGGAGTTTGCTTCTCCCTCTGACCCTCCCCCTCTCATGTGCTCTCTCTCTCTCATTCTTTCTGTCTCAAATGAATAAATAAAATTCTTTTAAAAAAAAAAAAAAGAAATGCAGAATCTTGGGCCCTACTCTAGATCTAATAAATCATAACCTGCATTTTATTCAGATTCCCCAGGTGATTTGTGTGTGCAGTAAGTATTGAGAAAGACCAATATGGATGATTCCAACAAACACTGAGGGTTGAGAAATACTACATTAGACAGGTAGTTGTATTATATATTTCTTCCACTTACCAACAGTACGATCTTGGACAATAACTTATTTGAATCTTAAGATTTTTATCTGTGGTGGGGCGCCTGGGTGCTCAGTCATTAATCGTCTGCCTTCGGCTCAGGTCATGATCCCAGCATCCTGGATCGAGCCCCACATCAGGCTTCCTGCTCTGAGGGAAGCCTGCTTCTCCCTCTCCTACTCCCCCTGCTTGTGTTCCCTGTCTCACTGTGTCTCTCTCTGTCAAATAAATAAATAAAATCTTAAAAAAAAAAAAGATTTTTTATCTGTGTAATGGAGAGAACAGTACCTACTTTGCAGATATGATGGGTCAGGTATGATTATTAATGGAGCAGAGCTCTGGCATATTCCTGTACCGGGAACACTGTGAGGTAGGGCAGCTGGGTGAGTGGGCAGGGGCGAGGGAAAGCCATGCTGCCGCCCCCCCCTCCCCCCTGCCCCGCCACGTCCCTGAGCATCCGGCCTCCCCAACAGGCCATTGTTGATGTCATGGTGAACCTGCAGTTCACCCTGGTGGAGACGCTGTGGAAAACCTTCTGGAGGTACAACCTCAGCCAGCCCAACGAGGCGCCTCCGCTGGCTGTGTGAGTCCCTGGGGGCGGGGGGCGGATGGGGAGGAGGGAAAGGGGGACGGGCATGGTGAGAGTCAGCGCCCGGGGCTGGGGTAGCCAGACCTCGGACCTCAGGTGGAAGGGCGGTATCTGCCTGAGCCCTGCAGTTTGTGGGGTGCCCATGACCTCCTGACCCACACTTCAGTGCTCGTGTATCAGTCCGACACTCAGTGCCTGGGATAGCACGCCTCGCTAAGCATTTCCTCCCGGCAGCGGGCGTATAAGCTCCCCGTCTGACCCCGGGGGCGTCGGGCCCGTGTCAGCCTGACCTTGGGCTGGGGCGGGTGTGCACAGGCACGACGAGGCTGAGAAGCGGCTGCCCAAGGCCAGCCTGGTGCTCCTCTCCAAGTTTGAGCCAGTGCTGCAGTGGACCAAGCACTGTGACAACGTGCTGTACCAGGGCCTGGTGGAGATCCTCATCCCCGACGTGCTGCGGCAGTGGGCGGCCGTC